GATGAAGTCCTGAAGGGTCACATGAGTATTGACATTTCTATGCTGAATCTTGACTTGCCAGTTAAGGGTCCCTTTACACCCAACACTGTGCATTTCAAACCTGAGTTAGGAGTTATATTCCTTGGAGAGATGATGGACCGCAATATTCGAAAGGAAATGCTCAAAAGAAAGTTTCAAGGAAAAGATGTCCCTGACAACATCAGCTTTGACAATCTAGATTAGAAAACCTTTCAATCTTGTAAAATCTAGTATATCTTTATATTTCTTTCAGTGTATAGATTTTATGTTTTAAGTCTACCAAACCCAATTGTAATCAGTTGTAATATTTTCTCTTGTAATATATTTCAATAAAATAATTGGTTCATTGAAAAAGATCAAACAAAAGAATAAATGAGACATGTACTTATGAGTTCTATTTATTTCTTACATTCGCTGACAACCTTCTAGTCATTGAATATGTTCTCAGTATTTAGTTATTTATATTTTGTAAGTCTATTATTTCCTTGTAATCCTTTAGAATTAAAGTAAAGTTTCATAATAAACTTTATTACTGAAAAACATCCCAAAACAGTTAAAAGGGACAAGTATTTTACTAGTATCTTTTTCTTACTGTAATACTGAAGCAATTTTCTTTATGTTGCTTTGTCATCATTAAAAAGGGGAGATTGTTGATCCTCTCTCTTAGTGATTTGATGATGATCCTTTCTATCTTACGAAGTGTATTATCTCTTTATTCAGCTTCAACAATCATCAGTGAGTATGTTCAGTAAACATTGAACAAGTATTGTAATTATTAGAGAGACAAGAATTTTTCAGGAAGACAAAATTCACACCACAGAACTTTTAGTGTTATCGAAGATAAAGCTGAAGATGGAGACAAGCAAGTGTGTGACCTGATACGGATTTCAGTGATAACACGTCTGTCTACACAAGTGAGATATCTACTCAGGATTCAACGAGCACTGAAGAAACCTCAGCGTTATTCTAGTATCAGCGATCGAATGAATCTTGTTGAACAAGATTAGTTTTTGTCTTGTCCTTCTACACACAAAGGACAAACTCATACCTCTCGAAGTAAAGTACCTGTTCGGAGTCACTCTATTGTCTCCAACCTTGCTTACCTACTTTGTGAAAGACTACTATTCATATTCGGGAAAAGCGTGTATATCTGGAACAAAGGACAAAATCACCTTTAAAAGCTTGTCACGTGCTTTGTACCGTCTGACTTGCATTTAATGCAAAGAATATAAATAGCTGAGAAGTTCTTCCTTCTCAACTCTCCCTCTGAACCACTCTAACCAGTGAAGAGCACAAGACTTGATAACCTGTTCTTTTAGCAAGTCTTTTCTTTCTTGCTTTCTGTATCTTGTGTGTTTCTTTCATTGATTAGATAAGTTCTGTATCTTATCTTTTTCGCAAACAATCTATAAAATTATGTACTTTATCAATAAATGATTTTAAAAAGTGAAAGCTATTGTGTTTGTATTCATTCCCCCCCCCCCTTCTACAAACTGTTACTTTTTAAACTCTTGTAGATTCGGCTGAGACCAACATATCTTATGTTTCTTCTCTTTTTTTCTTTTTTTTTTGGGACCCCTTTTGAAAATATATGACGGTTGGACTTGAATGTTGGGTCTTGATTAAAAGCATGCTCCAGTTTAAATCACTCTTTCAATAAAACAATCTCGACAAAATATGTCTTTTGATAAGGTGTGAGAATACCTTATTCACTTTATCTTGGGGGCTTCTTCAAAAATCATTTAGATCTACTTTAAATTAATTTAATTCAAAACCTTTTTGATATGCCTATTTCACAAAATGAACCATAAGGATTATTTTTGGCACTACAAATCAATGTTAATAACATGTTATATTATCCGCAAATAATCGGATATTTATGCAACTATCACTAACTATTGACATTTGATCAATGTAAACAAATTTAAACCAAGAAAAAGAATTCATTAATTTCTTCTTCAATATGTGCTAAAACGCAATTGAAATATGATAAAACTGATGATGACAATATAGAGGGTTGGATACAGGTGAGAATTATTTAAAAAATCTCCACATTTGGATCAATCATAATTGAATGATAACACTAATGAGGTACATCGAGATGCACCAGATTATTCCTTCTAAAACGTAATTCATGGGTGAACATGAGATTAAAAGTGATAAAGAGTTTAGATCTCTTTTTACGCTTCTCTGATAATTTCCCTTCTCACACGATCCTTTGCGTATATATAGCCATAGGTTCATTTGAAAGTGGTAAATATTTGAGAAGTAGAGAAGTGATCATAGCCTTTGATCATATGGTCAAGATTTGCATCTTTGACTGTGAAGCACCAGATAATTTTTTTTATTAACCTGGATATTCAACCCGTTATACGAGCCGACTAATCCCAAGGCGACCACGTGCTTTGCAGATAGTCTGGAGTCACCGTATTTGAACCTCCATGGCCACAAGGGGATTTTTATTCCTCCTTGGATTTGAACATGGACCTCCTGGTACTTTTAACCTTTAGAGTCAAGCTCAAACCAATCAGACACCACCCTTGTAGAAATATGTAACAAAACAAGTGCTTATGTGAAGCACGAGATAATTACTCACATTGTGTGCGGAAGATAGAGAGGTAGTTCTATAATTTTTACAAATATGTAATAAAACAAGTGCTTATGTGATCAAGGGTACAGATTCTTACTTACTTTTCTCACACTAACTCACATTCTCACACGATTTTTCACCGCTCTCCCTATGCATATAGTATATAGCAACACATGTAAACAATACGAGTAACACTTCCTAAATCGAATCAATGAAAAGGAACATCTTTGTTCCTGTTGAGTTAAAACAATATTATTCTACTAGTATATATGATATCAAGAAAGACACCCAAAGATCACAAATCCAATAGATTGAACACTATCGCACAAATGAATATCATTTCGCCTGAGATGATTGACCCACCTATCTTTCTTACGAACTCGTGGATTCCCAAAAACATAAGTTTAGCTGTCGAAGTGCATTATAAAGAAAAAGAAGGGATGTTAGTAGAACCAATTAAAGAAGAAAAATGCATGACATGGGTTTTGAAGAACAATGTTCTTATAGAATACCCTTCTGAAATATAGATTAATTTAATCTCTGCAAATTAAATTACTTTTTGTTAGGGAGTGGAATCATGGTTTTGTGGTGGTGGGTTAAATTTGACATGATGGAAAGAAAGGAAAAAAAAGGGAAAAGGGTTTGTATATGCAAACGATGGATTTGCTTGTGGTAACAGAGCAAGACGAGGAAGAAGGGAGCTATCATGATGATGTCAATTTGTGAAGGAGCAGGACACAGTAGACCCCCATTGATTGTTTGTTCATCTTTTATCATTTTTGTTCTGCAAGAGGGAGGTGTTTGTTTTACAATGGATAGATGGGTGAAGATGAGGTCTAAATCCCTAAACTCTCACCCTTGTGGCTTAATATTTAATCCATCTAACTTAATATTTACACCGTAAACAACCAAATACTCGGTGATGGTTAGTGAATAAGTCATTCAGTTTTTAATTAAGTTGATTAAGCCAAAGCAAAACCACTCTCCTAGCTAGACAATGAAGTTTTAAACAAACATTACCAACATTACATATAAACATTTTTTATCTTTGTATGTTATTTAGTATTCCAAGCTTCATTTCATACATATTCTCTTCCAAGTTGTTTAAGAAAAAGAACCGTTGTTGCTGGAAATCGGAGAATGTAATTAGTTTTAGTTCACCTCGTATTTATTCTTTTAACGGTGGTAGATTATAATTTTTTTTAACAAAACCACCCATCACATTCTCAAATATTAGTAATACATCGTAATAAAAATTACAAATCAGCACAACTGAATCAATTGTGATTTTATCTTGGCTTGTTTTGGATGTGGGGGTGGTTTCTTTGGGTTGTTCTTAATTAAAATGAAAATGGAAATGGTAAAGAACATGTATAATTTATTTTCTATTATTAAATATTACTGCAAAGTTGCAATATATGGAGTTTTTCCTCTTAGGGTTTTAATGGAGATGGTAGGCCATGGATATCCATGTGAATGCATGTGCAATGTCTTTTCTGATAGCCCCACCTATTCCCCTTTACAATTAATAAATAATGCTTTTTCAACTCCATTTTTGTTCTTCTCGGCTCTGAATTAACTTCTTCACCTTCTGCTACACTTTGGTTCTTCAACCCCCACAAAGACTCTGCAAACATACAGTACTCACACATCTCCCATGAATCTTCGATCATCGGTAGAATCTTGATTTAAAGGTACATATGCTGTATTTTATTATTATTAATTGCTTATTTTGATTTAATTTTTCCATAAACTTCGTACGCTATTTATGTAACTTAATTTTGAAATTATTTTGCATGGATTTTCTTTCTATTCTCAAGGCCTTCATCTTATCGTTTTTTGTACACAAAAATTGATGCTAACTTTAGGGATTTTGGGGAAGAACTTTCAAGTTTATCTTGCTGTGAAGAATGAAATATCACCGATGGACTTATTAGTGCATGAATTAAATAATCCACACACATACAAATCCTCAAAACTCTTTTGATTGTTTAATTACTGCTTTTAGCTTATTCCATATATATATATATATATATATATATATATATATATATACATGTTTGTTCAAACAAGAAGCTAAACATTTTCTAAGAAGGCAAAATGTGTAATATCATATATACACAAGCTTGATCATATATGATTAAACACATGTTACATTGACAATACATACACACCCACAAGTCGTGTAATCATATATTATATATATCACACTTCTTGCCTTCTCGAAAAATGTTTATTTTTTCGTATCATCGTTCCTATATATATATATATATATATATATCATGTTAATCATGTATATACCGAGTAAAAAATGGTTCATATATTATGATCTTGCATGTTACATATTCCTTCCTTTTCCATGGATTTGACTTTTTCTGAACTCAAATCCTAGATCTTTACCATCGTTACACTTATGAAATGATACTAATTTTTGGAGTGTTTATGTATTTTTGTTTTAGAAAAGAGAATCGCAGAGGTAAATTTAGTTTTCCTATATAATTGTTCAATCAATATGCTCTTTATTTTGTTATAAAATTGTAATTTCCAGGAAACTAAAATGCACAATTCTAGCCAACTCAGGAAAGAGTTTATCAAGAAATGGATTCATGGTCTTCAAATATGTTGTTCTTCAAAGAAGCACATGAATCTCATGGAAAGAAAGAAGAAAATAAAGCTTTCTGCAGACATTGCTTTGGCCTCTGCCAAAAATGCTACAACTTCTTGGAGTAAAGCTCTAATTGCAGACGTCAAAATAGATGAAGAAAACATGATTCTTATCAACAATTTATCAGGCCCAGAATCGAAGTTCGTAGGTGCACATGACCAGAGGGTAACTTGCCACAAGAGAATCAGAAGCAAGAAGATCTTGAAAAAGAGTTGTGGTGTAGGTAAACGAATAAAGAGGATGGGATCTCGTAGATCGGATTTAGCTACATGTATTGCTGAAAGATTGGTGAAGAAGAGAACAAAAGTGCTTAAAAGACTTGTACCAGGTGGAGAATCCATGGATGAAGTCACCATCATTAAAGAAGCATTAGATTACATACTTTCTCTTAGGGTACAGGTTGATGTAATGAAGAATGTTGTGAATGCTACTGGGGTTTTGGATTAAAATAATCAGATGATAGCTATCAATTAATATGTAACTTGAGTTTGTCTCCCTCTGTATCTCAAAATCTGCAGGAACAAAGAAACTACAAGTAGAGCTTGAAGTAATTATGCATGTACTACAGGTCTTCTAGTTACCTCAGAAATGAGTTGTCAGTAAAAGAAACTAATTTAGGAAGAACAAAAGCAAACATTTTTCCACGAAATAAAAACTCATCTACCTACTTATTTGCCTTGGTGATAATACTTGAAAGCCCAAAAATTTTCTAGCTACGTGATTAAACCACTTTTTCGGTTTTATGGTTAACTTCTAGGGATTTTTTTTCAATTTTTTTAGTTGTTGTTGCTTGTATTTTCTAATATCCCATAACACCCCTCAAAGTTTAGTGGTGCATCTTTCATACCTCAAAAGATAATTCTACTCGCGAAAATAAGTTGAGCAGATGCACATGATCTCGTTCGGTGTTCATAGGTCCACCCCTGCACTTTTTCTGTAAGGAATGATATGCAGCCAAAGTTAACTAGCAAGTGACTTCTAAGGTCTCAAATGTTGCAGAAATCCAAGAGTACAACAATCCCATCAACAATTGAGGATAATTGTGATCTAGATGTTACATGACATGCTTTAAAGAGAAGAACGCACCCACAATGTAAATAACAATCGTATATGCTAGGATCTACTCATATAACATTATCACAAACAAATAACACAAAGATTTAACATGGTTTCACTATCAGTTTGATACAATACATCCACCAAAGAGAGAGAGCAAGTATTATATTACCACCGAGGAGATTACAAAATGCTTATACAAATAGGCATGGCAATGAGACGGGGATGGGGCGGGTTTTGTAATCCCCGGCCCCGGTTTTTAGTAATAGCCATCGGCCCCGGCCCAGTCCTCAGCGGGAATGGGAATTAACATCCCGTTCTTGGTTAAACCCTGACCAAACCCCATGAAGAATATCTGTTAGTTTGAGTCTATCGGGGATCCCCGGCCCCGAGACCCATTTTTAGTGGGGAATCCCCGTCCCCGTTCGGTTCGGGTGAGTCGGGTTCCCCACCATCCTTATATACAAATATCCTTAAATCCAATATCAGCTAGAAAATCTTCCTGAACACCAGGAACACTCTCATAAACTCATATATACTATAGATAGAAAGAATTTAGAGACAATAGAAGTGGTGTTGAGTGTTTGGAAGCAAGTACATGGATAATTGATAAGTTAGGGCTAAAAGGTTTCTATTATATCAATAGAAAAGGACAAGGGAAGGAAAGGTAAGGCAAAAAGTATCGAAAAGGGATGACCTAGCCTCCCATTTGTCACCGGCCAATGGGACACAGGAGGCTTATCCGGCGACATGAAGTCACGGGGAAGGCCACAGGAAACACTGATACAGAGGGTGGGGTGTCACCATCGATTCGAGATTGGGAGAAACCTCGGAAAGACAAATAGCGAAACCTGCGACTTGGGGTGCGACCCAAAGCCGTGGGGAAGTTCGCGTTCCATTCTACTCTTGTTTCCTGATTTTTGTGCAACGTCAAATGTGATAAAAGTATCATAACACTCCACCATGATGCTCAAACTCTCCAAGCCTTTCCAAAGTTGTTTAAAGTTAGTAGATAACAAAGCAAATTAGCACGAGGTAACAAATTGCATTCCAACCATGACGAGCTTCGTCATGGCCATTACCCATCAAAGTTACAAGCAAGACAACCTCAAACACAAGGTAGAACAAAGCAAAACTCTAAGCACTTAATAAAGTAAGTTTTAAGAGATGTCATTTTTGTCACCTACGGTAGTATGTGATCTCTCCCCAACAAAATGCCTAACACAAATGAAGTTGAATCAAGTTTTAGCAATGCTCAAACTTGTTGTGCGATTGTGATTTAGTGAACATATTAGAGACATTGTCGTCTATTAGGATTTTCTTCAAATAGGCAACCTTTGTATGAGAACTGAAAGGAAAATGGATGGCACTCTGATTATCATAGAAAATGCTCATGAGAGGTTGCTCGAAGCCCAAACCATTCATCAATTCTTTCAAATGGATAACTTCCTTTACAGAGTCAACTACCGTAACAAGTTCAATTCCCATGGTTGACAATGCCATAATTGAGCGAGATGTGATCTCCTTTTAACGGTTGTTTCACCTAATGTAAATACATAATCGGATGTGGATCTCCAACATAATCGATCACCTACATAGAAAGAATCAAAAAATACAACAATTTCAATGTCATTATAAAAACCCAAAATAAGACCATGTGTCTTTGCTCCCTTCAAATATTGAAATGCCTTTTTTAATGGATACCAAATGTGATAAACCTGGATTCACGAGAAACCGACTCACAACTTCAACATAATATGTGAGATCGAGATGATTAGACATGTGGCATACATAAGAGTCTCGACCATACTAGCATATGAAACCTTTAATATTTTGGTCTTTCTCTTGTCATCCTCCGGACAATCATCACTTGTAATATGGATGTGCTCTGCAGCCCAGTGCTAGATCTTGGCACCATCAAGGTTGAACTTCTTCAATATCTTTTGGATATAAACTTGTTATGTCAATCTAAGAGTTTGGGATTTCTTTCCCGCACAATTTCCATGCCTAAAATCTTCTATACGAGTGTAAGATCCTTCATTCCAAACTCTGACTTTTACTAGTCTTTCAACCGTTTGATCTTTGATCTATTATTGTAGGAAATGAGCATGTCATCTACTTAAACACGTAAGTAAGTGAAAATGTCACTGTTTTGTCTATGATAGACACAAACATCCTTCACTATTGCTCAAAACCAAGGGTTAGCATGAATAAGTCAATTTTCTTATACCATTGACGAGAAGATTGTTCAAGTACATAAAGGGACTTCTTGATCTTACAAACATATTTCGGCTTGCAATCCAAGATGAAACCTTTGGGTTGCTTCATGTAAATGATTTCCTTCATATCTTCATGTAGGAAGCAAGTCTTCACATCCACTTATTCTGAATCTAAATTGTAAATGGCCACGATTGCCAAAAGATCTCTAATGGATGTATGATGAGCAATGGGAGCAAAGCTATCGACATACTTGATATATTTCTGTTAAGCAATGCCTTTTTTAACTAGTGGGGCCTTGAAGTTATTGGCATATTTGACTTTATACACCCATTTAAACTCGATTGCACAACTACCTTTTGGTAGTAGACATAGTCCCAATGTCTTGTTCTCTGAGAGAACTTCCATCACTTCTTGCACGACAGATAGTCATTTAGAACTGTAGGTTATGGCCAACGTGTCCTTCAAGTCAAACGACTCCTCTTCTCCTACATGTAATACAAACTCTAGCTGATCTGTAAGCTCTTATTAGCGAAATCTCAATCACCATACCTATTAGGGGGATGAATAGTTTATAGCTACATCTGGTAGGTGCAACTACTAAGCTTTCCTCATAAGCTTGTTCTCAACCATCATTGCTAATGCCTTCTTCACTTGTAGATAAATAGATCACTAGAAGTAGTCGCTAGTGGGATGACTTCTTCTGCAACATCATCTAGTGATCCAAGAACCGCTCATAGCTTGCCACATGTCCCTGTTCGTGATGCATATTTACCATGAGTAGCATATTTATGATGAATATGGAAATGTTATTCATCTTGAATCACACATTCATGATAAATATAGACGTGTTATTTATTTGGGTTAAAAATTCATAACAATGACCGATTATGATATTAAGCAGGACGATGATATCCTCAACCTATATTTATCCATGATAGTCGTGTTTAATAGGTAACAGTGATAACCGACAATTTTGGCTAACATGGACAACCATTTTTTTTGTATTTATTACAGACGTGAAGTGTAATGGAAGAATAATGACAAACATTCACTCATCAATACGTAGATTATAATCGACGACCAAGATTAATTAGCACCATCAAGGCTAACTGTTAGACGTTATGATCATTAAAATGAAGTTACAAAATCAATATTGTAAATATGATGATCATCATAAAGGACCCAAAATACTCTACACTATCGTTTGCTCTCGAATAATCCTTTTCAAATTGAAATTTATGTTTATTTACATATGACGTCTTTGTTAGTGACGTTCTTTAATAGAGACAATAATTATTAAGGAGGAGTCTCTTATTGGCTTCCATAGTGCATTGACGATAACTATGTTAGTCCAAGTTCAAATCCAAGGAGGAATAAAAATCCCCTTGTAGCCACGGAGGTACAAATACGGTGACTCTGGGATATCTGCAAAGTAGGTGGTTGCCTTGGGATTAGTCGGCTCACATAGCGGGTTGGATATCCAGGTTAATAAAAAAAAACTATGTTAGTCCACTGTTTTTACCATCAACAGGGTTTTTTTGCATCAAAGAAATATTTGTGTCATTTGTTTTTCTTTTGTTTATTGTCTCGAACTTTCAATCTATAGTTGATAAGCTACACGATCCAACCTTAAATTGTATTGTGTAATTTTTGGCATAAACAATTTGGCGCCAACGTGGAGGGGAACTAATATTTTCCTTCAAAATGAAAATGTGTTACTAATATATCTTTTGGTAGATCTTTCTTTCAAATATGTAAACTATAGGTTCTAATCATAACATAATGGCTAGGTGCAAGCATAATTGGATGCTGCTCATCAGCAAATAACTCTGTTAATGAGCAAAACTCAAAAACAATCAAGAACTTTTGAGCTATCGTCAAAGTACTCAATGAGTTACATCTACCATGACAAAGGTCTCTAAAACCTCCTCAATTTACCTCCACCACCTAATTCCTTGAATATGCCATCTTACACTCAGTCACCTTTTCTTAGATCTACACCTTTAATCTCACAATCTCAAGTTCTTCCTTACCACCAACATTTTCCTTACATTAGGAAGTTTTTCCTTGATCAACCAATCTTATGCCAGCAATTCCCATGTCGTCTATCTTCCCTCCTACTAACATCCCTTTTTCCACTATTGGCATAGTTGGTGTCCACGATGATGCAAAATTGTCCCAAAGATATGGAAAAGAATTCATGACTACTGTTTGTTTGT